CAGTTAGTCTATAGTTACGTATATACGACTACTAAATGGAACAGAGAGTTACATTAACAGACACTAATCCAAGGGAGCAGAGAGTTTAGTCACGCTGACACAAACTAAAGGGAGCAGAAAGTTATACACCTGACCCCTATATAATAATTTAAAACTCTCTGTGTTGCTTTGGCTTCAGCCAAAGGTGGTGGGAGCAGCACTCCTATTGTAACAACAAACAAAAACAAGTAGGATGGAGTTAGGACCAGAGAGATTGTGCAGGAGAATATTCAATGTTTCTGTGCATGCTGCTCCTATTTTAAAAGGGGCAAATAAATCCAAAAATATCCCTGAATAGGATTTTAACATTGGTATCTGAAATGGTGTAGTTTATATTCCCAGTTTATTCTCGCCCCCCCTCCCATTAGTTATGTATCTTTTGGAAAGAGAGGAGCATGAGAAACATATTGTCTTGTGGATTTGGGTGTTTTTGAGAGAAAAAGTGTTTCCTGTGAGGCGGAATGCCTTTCCAGATATGAAGGTAGATGATTCATGACCTGAGCGAATTCATCATTAATCGTCATCAGTCACACAGCTGGGTCATAGGCTTAGTCAATACAAAACGACTAGTATATCTACAGAAATTATTATTTGAAATAAACAGCAGATTCCAATGAAGGTAGTGGGCTTGCAATTCCAAGCAACAGTGAGGCGCAGATAATCTGCTTCACAAAAGATGCCATCTCACTTATTCTGCGGTTCTTTGAGAAGCGAGACTTGAATAATTAAAGATTGTACTGTTGTACGATGCAGAATGAAGTCTTTGAGACGTCGCTTTCTCTCTAATTAGCCCACAGTGCGTTGTTTAACTGCAGTGATGCATCCTAATTAATAGCTCTATCTCTTCTGAAACTTGTAGCAATTATTCCCTGGTAATAAACCTGATATTCCTCACAGATGAAATTAAGCTGCAGCCTCATTAGTGCACACATAAATGCAGCGCAATACAGTAAATCAGTTGTGCTTTTTGCTCCTGTTAACGTCCTTAGAGACCAGACCGTCAATGGTTGCTGAAGGGAGCTTTAAAAAAAAAGGGGGAAAGCTGCCTAAAATGTAATGTGTGGAGTCATTCCATCGCAAAGTAAATTAACTCATTTACTGGTAACTATGTTTTGCAGCCAACATCTGACCTGAGCAATGGTGAGACCACAGCACACAAAGGCAGCTTTGTACTCATTTGGAGCGTTTTAAATCATTCAGGAGTTTTGTGCCCAGAACTGATTTTTTCTTAAAAAAAGGCAGATTGTCCAAGTAATTTTCAGTAGAAAGGGTGGAGAAAGAGAGCAACTGAAAGTGTTACAATATATTTCTGTTATATTTCTTGTTTCCTGTTTGCTTTTTACCCACAGGAATATATACATAAAGTTATTAGATTGCCTTTTACCGCCTTCAAAGCAGTTGTGTCTTTAGTGAAATTAATGTTTGTGATCAAGTACTTTATACATTACCTAGCCAATAAAAAGGGCTGCTTTTTCGCTAATAACACTTGTGCATGTTTTAAAATATAATTTTATTTGCAATGTTAATGCTTTTAACAACAATAATATATTGAATTCAGTTCAGCATAACAATAATTATAAATGTCTGGACTGGAGATTTATATGGTGTGAAACTAATCCGAAAGGTGCTGGGCATAGAGTATGAGTCTTTAATCGTGGATATTATTACAACATAGTGCTTGCTCTTCAGTTTCACATGGTGCATGAGAAACTTTCATATTATAGTAATTATTATAATACTTGGTTACATCCAGATATGGAGCATTGCTATGAGTGAAGTTATGCTATTGTGGAAAATTGGTGAATCGTGATCTGCTCGGGGGACTGCGAGAATATAAAATTGGTCATTTACTTCATGGCTGTTTGTAGGACATTGCTGTGCACAAATTGGCTGCCAACGTTTTCCCACAAAATACAATCACTGCACTTTACAGTATAGATAAATCCTGGCTAGCCGGACTAATGGGGCAAAATCTGATTCAGCCCGCCAGAATTTCCAGCAAAGTTTAATTACAGTGCGTTTAATGGCATTTTTCAGCACTTTTTTTGTGGGCAAAAAGAAATCACAATAGCCTAACGGGTGGAGAAATCATGTGAGCTGCTTAAGGTGTAGTTGGCGCGCTAGGAGAATTGGGAGTCAGGAATCTATACGTGTGTAAGCCTTGGAATTTTTTTTATTTCGGGTTTCGGCCTGATCTAGCTAGGTTCAAATTCCCCAAGCCCGGAGTCTGGTAAACTGCGGTTTACTGTGTATCTTGTGGAACACTTTGTGGAAGGTGCTATGTCAAACATAAGTGCTTTTATTATTAATAAGCCTTAAGTGTTTGTCTTGACCTATTCATGGCAATATATAAGCTTCAAAGTAGGACTGTTGACAGTTGTGATATTTATGTGAGCGGCAATAGATTAGATTTTGGCCTTTATATGCTTGGAGTTTGTATAGATGTGTAGCCTGGCTCAGTGGGAGCTCGCTCGCTTCTGAGTTGGTTGTGGGTTCAAGCCCCACCTCGGGACTTGGAATCACATATTCTAAGACACTCCAACAATCCCCCAAATAAAATTGGTTACTCAATCCATGGCCGTTGGTGGGACATTGCTGTACGCAAACTGGCTGCTGCATTACCCCCACAAATTACAGTCAAACCATTTTACAGTACATCCTATGAAGCACTTTGAGACGTCTCAGCGACCTGATAAGCGCTATATCAAGTGCAGGATTAGAATTAGTAGTAGTACTAGTATGTGGCAAATCCATAACTGTGTCCAATTTTCAAATAAAGGATTTCTCAAACTGCATTCATTTTATTACTGTTCTGAAAGTTTCTTATTTTAGCATTTTTTGCATAGATGATTATAGATTTCACTAAAGATTTTCAGTTCCATCAGGAGAACGTGGCAAAGCCCTTCACAGGATGTACAAAACAAAATGGATATCTTCCCTCCCTGTATGGCTGGCTATAAGCAGGTTAATTGAGCTTCCTTCCCCCTGATAGTTGTGTGCATTATTCGTTTGGTGAAAGTGAACAGCCAGCCTCAATGTTTGATGCATTAATCGAATGTCATTAATCAGTTTCTCCATCACACAATGCAGGTACATCACACTCCGCCTGATACCGCAACTCCACATTGCTGGAGTGGATTAGTATTGCACTCAGTGTCTCTAGCTAACGCAGCTTGGAAACTGGAATTGCCTGCAAAGTCTACCAGAAATTAGCTACTACAATGCAGTCCTGAAAAAAAGCTATTGGTGATCTGTTTCCAATTATACAGAAAGTACTGAGTAATAAATTGGACCTGATTATACTGGGTCAGACTTCAAGAAGAATCTCATTTATAAAAAAANTCCTTGTTGTGACACTTGATGTTTTAATTTTTTTCTCCACAAAGATCAGCTGAGATAATGCTCATTGCAATGTCGTTTGCAAAATATAGACAAAGTGGATGTGGAACGCACTGGGCTCGCTTTCACAAGGTCCGTTCTATATAGAATTACACACAGTGATACAGCACAGAAACTAGTCTGTCGGTGTTTATGCTCCACAGAAGCCCCCACCTATCCTATTTCCCTCTCCTATACCCCTCTGTTCGCTTCTCCCTCTTAGGTTTCACCCCATACTCAGCATTCCCCTGCAAATCCAGTCACTACATTTTACAGTATATCCTTAAGTGCTTTAAGACATCCTCCCGATGTGAAAGGTGTTAGATCAAGTGCAAGGATTATTATTGCTATTATTCTCAGAAGTTTTGAATGAATTATTTTTAATATTAGTAAAGAAGCGATCAAACAACTGGCTTGTCAATGACAGCACCCTGACAGCCAATGTTGATGTGTTATTCTTTGCATAGAAACCCTCATTGCTGCTTCACTTCACCATTCTGCCACGTGCCTGACACTGTAACCACACACACATGATTTTTTTGAGTACTTAAAAGCGCAATTACATTTACTGCAAACCTAACCAGGCTAAATTGAAACATAGCCAAAAGATACTATGCCAAATACAATTATTAAGCTAACTTATTGCCTGTATCAAATGCTATCAATCACTGGAAATAGCTCTCTTTAACCTTCTAGGTGTGTGTCAGGCTCCTTGATAGCGTTCTCGCCTCTGAGTCAGAAGGTTGTGGGTCAGCCCCATGTCAGGATTTCTGAAAAATTGTTAACTACGCATTTGTTAAAGTCACTGCCAGTGTGAAACTGAGACATATAGATCGGAGTCTTTTGTTCGACGCCTAAGGTGTGCTACGTTAACTGATTTCAGTCAGCACAGCAGTATCAGCTGCTGCACTTGACAGTAACTATCTGCCAAATCCTTTGAAACATTCAAACATGAAATGTTCAAAAAAAAAGGTTCCTTCTTTAGAAGAGCCAACACGTGGATAATGAGCCAAATGATCTCCTTCTATGCTGTAAATTTCTATGGTTCTTTCTAGTGCACAACAATTTGTCTCTGTCTCCCCGTTAGGCAGGGGAGAAACCAGTCAGGGTTCTCATGTCTGATCATTATTCAGTAATTTCTGGGGAAAGTGCACATGTGTGAACATCATAAAGATGGACTGAGTTAGTCAGTAATACTCTAAATGTAAATAACCTGCCGGTACTTGCTGTTAGGGTCAGATATGAAGAGTGACCGTTTGACAGGGCAATACCAGAGCTCAACTGGTGCAACGTTTAGCTAACTGTATCGTGTGCTTGATCTTTCTTTGCACGTGATTAATCAATCCACGACCGTTTGTGGGACACTGCTGTGCGCAATTGACTGCCGCATTTTACCCACAAAATACACGTCAATCCACTTTACAATATATTCTGTGAAGTGCTTTGAGACGTCTCAACAACGGGATACAGCACTATATCAAATGCAAGGATTATTATTATCATCAATTGGTATTGAGGTTGTCATCGTGTTGGATCACATTTCAGATTTAGTAATTCAAATGATTTTTTATTATAATCCTCAGATGCAGCAGCTGTTCTATGAGAACTATGAGCACAACAAGAAAGGCTACATTCAAGATTTGCACAACAGCAAGATTCACAATGCTATAACACTCCATCCGAACAAACGACCTGCCTATCAGTATAGACTGCATAACTACTTGCTGAGCCGCAAGGTGTCCGAACTCCGCCATCGTACCATCCAGCTGTATAGAGAAAGCATCTCCATGAGCAAGCTCAGCAACACTGAAGTGCGCAAGGAAGATCAACAACTTGGGATGATGCCGTCCTTCATGCGATTCCAGCCTCATGACAGGGATGAGGTCCTTGAATGGGACTTTCTGACCGGAAAGCACCTTTTTACAATGAGCGAAACGCAGATCCCTCGGCAGGGCATCAGCAGTGTGCTGCATGCAGCGCTGGACGACGTGATAATGCAAATCATGGAGATGATCAACTGGAATTCAAAGTCCAGAGGGCGAGTGATTGAATTCAAAGAGATCCAGTATGGCTATCGAAGAGTTAATCCCATGCATGGAGCAGAATACATTTTGGACCTGCTGCTGCTTTATAAGAAGCATAAAGGGAGAAAGGTGACCGTCCCCGTGAGGCGCCACGCCTACATCCAGCAATCCTTCAGCAAAGCGTTCATGATGGAGGCTGAAGAGTTGGATGCAAAGATGCTTGCAGAGAGCATCAACAGCGACTCCCAGTCTTTCTCCTTTCTCTCAAACTCACTGAAAATCTTCTCGCCATTCCAGTTCACCGAGTCCACCAAAGAGGTCCAACAACATGGTGACAAGAAGGTTCACATTCTAGTTCCCCTCACGGAAAGATACGAGACCTTTGTGCGTTTTATGGAGAACTTTGAGAAGACATGCCTTATCTCAAAGCAGAATGTAAAACTAACGGTACTCTTGTTCAACTCTGACTCCACCTCAGACAAAGGCAAGCATGAGGAGCTAATAAGAGACTTGCACCTTAAATATCCCAAGGCAGATATGACCATTCTCCTTATGGCAGGAGAGTTCTCCAGGGGTTTGGCCCTGGAAATGGGCTCATCTTCACTTCATAATGACAGTTTGCTGCTTTTCTGCGATGTCGACCTGATATTTACTCCAGAATTTCTGCAACGATGCCGAGACAATACAGTTCAGGGAGAGCAGGTTTATTTTCCTATAATCTTTAGCCAATATGACCCCAAAATAGTTTACAATGGTAACCCTCCGGCTGATAATAACTTTGTTTTCACTAAGAAGACTGGTTTCTGGAGGGAGTATGGCTTTGGGATCGTATGCATACACAAAAGCGATTTATTACACGTTGGTGGGTTTGATACCTCGATTCAGGGTTGGGGATTAGAAGACGTGGACCTGTTTACTAAGGTGATCTCTTCTGGGTTGAATGTCTTTAGAAGCCAGGAAATTGGGGTGGTTCATGTTTACCACCCTGTTCACTGTGATCCAAACATTGACCCTAAGCAATACAAGATGTGTTTGGGGTCCAAAGCAAGTACATTTGGATCCACAATTCAGTTGGCTGAACTCTGGCTTGAAAAGCATCTGAGTGGTGGATATAACAGAACGATCTCCTGACGTTTCAGTTCTTTCTTTCCATCTGTCTCTCGAAGGGTTTTACCTCAGATTTCTACGGTGTTCGGCTTACAGTTCCCCAGGCACCTTTTCCAAAGAACACTTTTAAAACATTGGGACAAGGTGAATAACATTTATAAATATTTTAGCATCCTACTGGAAGTGCTTTGAAAGTGGGTTGTTTTGATCTTTATTGCCTAAGAGTGGGGAGATCCAGAATACTTGGCAATGCTGTTAACCGTAGATGCCCCATGCAGGTCCCTATAAAGGGCTTCACCTGTCAGACTCTGAATTCAAGATCAAAACTGATTCAACGTAGACAATGCCACAAAAGTGCTTCAAGCGGGAACCAGCGACACAGACTTTTTAATTTATGTGATGACTTTGTTCACCATCTGCAGTATTTTTTAAACTATGTGAACAAATGTAAGATTGTATGTTTGCTTTTAAAAAAAACATTAATGTGGGAATTTATTCTCATGAGATTACAGGTACTGGTGACCAAGCTCTAAATGTCTGAAAATGTGCGTATTCTATATACTGTGTACCATGAGTTTAGAACGACTCTTGGTTTCTTAAGTGGAAACATGCTGCAAGCAAGCATGTGTACCTTCATTCTTGTAGCTTTGTGTCTTTAAATGCCCTTAAATTTGCAGCTTAGAATAAAACTGTCTGAGAACACTCCTATTTATAATAAACTATCTGCATAACATTATCCCACTTTCTTAAGATGCTCGATTTTTTTTTAACCTAGATTGTAAATGTCATTCGGTCCCAGTGTTTCACAGGTAGCAGTTCTGAAGGCCATGTAATGATCTGCTTCAGAGATCGTTATGTTTGTGATTCAGAACATTGCTAAAAGGTCACATCCCAAAATGTTAACCTATCCTTTTCTTTCAGGTACACATCAACATCCATGCATTTCTTGTTCTTACTGCAGATTTCCAGTGCTCCCTCTTTTATTTCTTTTTAATAAAAATCTCAGTGAAATTGTTTAGTTTCAAGCCAGTGAGTGGAAATCAACAACAACTACAATTTGCATTTATATAGTGACTTTCATATCAGTAGGATGTCTCGAAGTGCTTCATGTCATCTGACCGGGAGCCTGAATTCTGGTGGGGAGGAATGAGAACTGTGGAGGGGAAAGAATGATGGCTGAAAGTGCATTTTAAGAGATAGGTGAAAGATGGGTTTTGAATGTGGGAGGGGGTAAGATAAAGGAATAGAATTACAGAGAGAAAGGCAGAATGGCAAAAGGCTTATCCAGACCAGTTTTTGCTGAGCGGCCAGAACAGGAGAGTCATGGAATCGCAGAGTAGGGTTGGATGAGGCCATGGAGAAATTGGAAGCCAAGGATCTTGAATTTGATTCACTGGAGGATGGGCGACAGCAGTGGAGTCAGGCAAGGATGCTATTGCTAGGTTTGAGGAGCCTGGTGCAGGAGTGGAATTGACTGCACAGTTGTGGATTGTTTGCAACCTCCTGCCCTGATCGCTTTTTCCACTCAGCAAATACTACTGGCCTGTGTCAGCGCTTGAACCGTTCCGCTTCAGCACAGAACTCCAACCCTTGCCCACAAAATACACACGATCAAATCACTTTACACTCTATCCAGCTGAGCGCTTGGGACAGCTCAATGACTTGATAAGGCGTTATATCAAATATAAGAATTATAATTGTGTAGTGAGGAACTGTAGATTCTACTGAGCAGAGTATTGGAAGAATCGAACATGGACATGATGGAAGCATGGATGAGGGTTTCAGCAGCCCAAGGATAATGGCAGCTGTGCGAGACATTGCTGAGGTGAGGGAAAGCCGAGTGTTTCGGAGTTCAGAATGGTCAACAGTATCAAAGGTAGAAAAGAGATCAAGGAAGACAATGGGACTGAGGGAGCTTTAATCACAGGTAGCAAGAACGTCACTGGTAACTTTGACCAGGGCTAGAACAATACTGTGGTAGGACCGAAGTTGGATTGGAGTGACTTGAGAAAGGAATGCTGGTAGAGGAAGGACAAAACTGAGAGATAATCACCTTGGAGAAAAGAGACAGGTTAGAGATGGGTCAGTAGATGGAGAGCATTAGAAGGGCCCAGTGAGGGTTTCATGAAGGTGGGGGCAGCTAATGAAGATAGTTTTGAAGGACAAAGGTACTGTGCCAATTAAAAGGGAGGAGTTGATGAGGTTGGATAGCATGAGAGTGAGGAGGGGAAGCTGTATGGATTAGGGTGATGTGGGGGGGCTGTTAAGGAGTAACTGGTGGATTTCACGGGGAAGGAAATGAATGAATAGGAGATAGGGTCAAATTTGTGGAGGGGAGTGGATGGGGTGTGGAGCTGAAAATTGGCTTGATTTCCACACTGTCCTCAAGACAGATCTGCCTTAGGGGGAACGATGAATGAGTGTGAGCCGTGTAAAAAACTGAAATGGTAACAGATGTGTTTCTCCAAGGTCCCTAAAGGGTTGTTGCTAGAGCAGTATCCAAGCGCACCTAATACCTAACCTGTAGCAGAATCATTGGGCTGTTTAAAAGGGTAAAACATTTTTTGGGACGAATGTGTATTAAGGGATAAGGCAGGAAAATAGAATTAAAAGATCTGCCTTAATCTAATAAAGGCAGACTTGACGGGCTGAATTGTTTCTCTTGCTCCTATGCTGCAGTCAGTGTCACCATAGCAACAAATAATTGCTGTTCTCTGTACTTGTGTACAATACCCAAAAGGATTTTAAATGTTTTTTTGAAGCAAACAGGGATTTTCATAAATTCAAACTTTAGGTTTAGCGAGTGTGAAATTCAGATCTTGTAAATCCGCAGCCTCAATGTTTTTCTTGTTAAAAATTAACATCCCACCAAGCAATGAAATAACTATCTGCAAGCTTACAAGAAATTTCAAATACTTTCTTATTTGGAACATGGACACATCATCAATGTATAGAACTAGAAATATCACCGCAGTGCAATCAGCTGGTCTCGGGATAAAAGAAAAATTGCATTATTAATCATAATAAAAACATCTCGCACACTTCAATAGAATCCCTTGTCAAATAGCTGTAATCCCCTCTTGATTTAGATCACACAAAATGGGATTAGGATTATAAAGTAACTCAAAATGACTCAAACTTTGGGTTCATCTGATATAAGATCAGATGCACTCTGTCTGGTGAATCCCTCCAGTCCTTGGTTAATGGTGCATTTGCAACGTCTAAAGAAAGTAACTCATCAGTCCTAAGTGAAAAGCCTTTTTGCTAACTCAATATAGAAACATGCCTATTTGTCTGAAAATGTAAACTCTCCCAGATGATCATGTTTGACAAAGAATTGAGGCCATGGCATCCTGTTGCGTATATTCTTAATGGTGCCTATTCACTTAAAGGTTACAGTTTGTTCTCTTTGACAAGAAAGGGAAATGAGCAGAGTGGAAACAGACGTGATTGAACATATCAAGTGCTTTGTGGAAAAGGTTATTATTGGTAACAGGTGGCCGAGGCAGCCCAGCTTCTCTACCTAGTTTAATCAATCCTGTTGAAATTGTCAGTCTGTTCACATCTGCTGGATCAAAATGGTTTAGTAATGAGATGATTTTGAACATTGTTCCTATGTTGCATGTAATTTCTGGCTCTGTTAATGATTGAATTGCACTGTAAACACCAGCTGATAAATGATCTCTTTTTAAGTTTTCACGCAGGATGTCCTTTTCCAAAGTCTCTAGAGTTCTGATTCTTTCTCTGCAATTATCTCAGAGAGAAACGAGTAACTAGTATGAAATATTGTGTGATCTATATATCTTACAGAAGATATTTCAAAGTGGAAACTGAAATAGTGAATTTAGCCAACCCAAAATATTAAATTCTAACTTACTATATTTCAAAAAGACATGTTGAACAATTGCGCTTACTTCAGAATTCATCACCTCTTTTGAAAACATCTGCCTTGGAAATGGTGTGCAGCCTTCAATAAAGATAGTGATTAAAACTACTAGAGTTACACACACCCAAAATTACCTGTTCAATTTGTCATTGCTGGAAGCTGAGGAAATGAGTTGACCTGAACTTTATTTTCCCTCAACTAGCTTGATGTGTGTTTATGCCATTGATTTCTATCCTCCAAGAGGAAAGTGACAGGTCATACTAACTACGAACATTCAGTACAGGCATCCATGCTTTGATCCATGCAATACTTTGAATACAGCCTTTTGATCCAAATGAAGAAACGTTTTAACCCTCTCTGAAGTGCCGCTGGCTCTCTGGTCTTCCTGCAACAACTCTACAAACCTTGGGTATTACCTGACCACTTGCAGGCATCAACTCTTCTTATGAATTAAGGTGATGCACAAAGGCAATGATGGCACAATAGGGAGCTACAGCAGCACACCCTTATAGTGAGACTTATACCTGAGCTGTCCTCAAAATCATTCAGTAAGACTCATTCCTATCACATATCAATACATACATTGTAGTGTATGTTGTAGGTCTCATAAGAAGCCCTAAGTTGTGTAGTGAACATTATTTATATAAATTAAGAAGGCTGATGCAATTTGTGGAGTTAATGAGAAAACAAGTATTTTACTCTAAATTTTTGTGAGTTTTTTTGCACCTATACGTTGGAGATACACTAAAACTAAATGGTTTTAGTTTTGCGCGAGTTCATTGCAGGTTCTCAATACCTTAGATATTGTGTAATTTTCCCAGCAACTGCAAGAATGTGTGCACATATGCCATTTTGGACTCCCATAAACTGCATGTTGTGTTGCTCAAAAGAACTTCAGAGGAACATATTTGGGCTAGATATACTAAAGTGAAAAGCCCCCAAAATGACTCGACAACAGTCAGTGAAAAAAAATCATTGAAAAGACTATTAATACAGTATTTATATCTATGCATATGCCAGCAATCAGTGCACTAAGTAGTGTGTTTCCACTTCCTAGAACCCAACTCCCTTCATCACCTTACTGCCTAGCCTGGCACACACACAGCATCATCAACAACAACAACTTGCACCCACACACAGGGTAACATTCCAGAGTCCTTGTGTGAGAGGGAAAGAGAGGGAGATCTCTGATTTTGATTCCATAGGATAAAGGGAAGGGGAGAACAGGAAAGAGGCAAGCGTCTGGAGGTAAAACCATTTGAATGTGGAAACCTTGATCTCCAAAGTCAAGCAAATACGTCATTATTTTCCATCCCAGATGGTACCTATTCAGCCTTGCTGGCCTTTCCCACTCCCTTTCACTTATAGTCCAATGCTTTGAAGTATTCGAAAATATTTGGCAGTTCCTTGCCAAAATTATCCTGTTTGAAAATCTTTTGAACCTCATTGTTTGGGAACCTTTAATGAAATGATAAATAAAAACTCTAAATAATAATATTGGGAATATCTAGTTTTATTATCCACTTTGGAAACACTGCTGAAATCCAAGGGGTTACTTCCATGTCATGGACCACTAACTAATAATGTTGCTTCACCAATTATTTTCATGGAAGCTGTAACTGAGCTAAATTGGTCCTTTTTGTAAATGTCAACTCACTGATTCACCTGCAAAACAGGCTTTCAGAAAGCCCTTTAAAACTACTGATCCCTGGTTAGATAAATTTGGGTTCATATTACCAGGAGGCAGAACAGCTGTAGTGAATTTGATGTGTGAAGCTGGATTTAGTTATGACACTCTGCAACTTGAAAAGTATTTCCAACTTTCACTGGACCTACTGAATACTGTATCTGTATA